GTGCTCCCGTCCTGACAGTTCCTCCACGTTAAACACCAGCGTGGCTCTTGCCTGGTGTCATGCCCTGACGTGACACTCCAGGAGAAGGTGGTCAGGCACGCGGCGAGCCCAGGAGCATCCTCAGCCACCGCCAGGCTGCTCGCGAGGCGGAAGCTCAGGAGTTCAATTAGCGCACGAGCACTGCGGGTTTTTCCTCTTTTGCCCTAAACTGAGTGATCGGAAAGATCAAGTAGCCGGAGAGTTTAGAAAGGATTTTCTTAATTTTACAAATGCTTCATGCCTGTTAAAATCAAATTAAATTTTTAGTGAGTCTTGGCCGTTTGCCATGCTTTTCAGATCTCTTAAAGAGCCTTATTTTTCCTGCAGATAGACTAAACCCACTAATTAGGTTTCTCAGCCTGAAGTGCTGCTTGGAGCGTTCACACACACCGAGGCAGTTTTCCCTTCACGCTGGGGCGCTTGCCTGAAGTGGGATAACGCGAGTGGAGAAGGAAAAGGTGCTGCGGAGTTTTCCTGCTGCTCCTGCCCGCGCTGGGCTCGTAAAGCACGAATGTAACCGCGGCAGTTTGAACCGAGGCGGCGGGTGGTCGGCGTCTCGCCTCGCTCCCAGCGCGGGCAGGGTCTCGGTGACAGGGGGGTCGCAGCTCAGGGCAGGGACCCCCCCACTCTCTGCAGCTTCGCCCGGTGCTTGGGCTGCAGGCGGGGCGCCGGAGGAGGCAGTGGGTTAGAAAAAAAGAAGAGGTTTCCAGTTTGTACGTGTCCTCGCACATACGGCTCGTTTAAGGGCTTTTCTCCGGGACCTTGTGCCGCTCCGGGGGAGGCCGGCGGCGGGAGCCCTGCCGCTCGCGTTGCGCCGGGTGCTGCGTCTCTCCCCCCTGCCTCGGGAGTTCACTTGTGTTTCTCTTTCCCTCCCCGCCTGCCCCACGCGACTCCTGCGACCGGCTCAGGCAGCGATCGCCAAAGTCCTGCACAACGAGGACAGGCACAGGATAAAGGCTTCGCCGTTCGTGGGGCTGGTGGTGGACGAGACGGTGGATGTCCTGGAGCACCGCAGCCTCGCCATGTTCACCACCACCGTCTCGCCCTGCAACGGGCAAACCTCCGCCACCTTCCTGGGGAGCTTCGAGCTGCCCGCCGGCGAGGCCTCCACGGTGGCGGGCAAGGTGGGCGAGGTGATGCGCTCCTTCGGCATCCCCACCATGAAGATCACGTGGCTCAGCGCCGACAGCGCCTCGCTGGTGGCCGAGCGGCTGAGCGGGGTGGGGACGGCGCTGTCGTCCCTCTGCCCGCTCCTCACGGAGATGCACTGCCTGTCCCACGGGAGCTCCCTGCTGCCGGCCGAGGGCATCGTCAGCATCGAGTACCTCCAGAAATACGAGACCACCGTGGACGCCGTGTACCGGCTCTACTCCAGCTTCAGGGGGGAAAGCAACGGCCTGGAGGAGCTGCGGAGTGTCCTGGACCTCTGTGAGATAGACCTGGGGAGCCCCAGAGCCATCCGCTGGACTTCCATTTTCCCAGCTGTGGAAGCCATCGATTCCTCGTGGCCCACGCTGGTGCTGCTGCTGGAGAGCGAGGCGGAGCGGTCGCCCGTGGCCCACGGCCTCTGCGAAGAGCTCAAGAAGTTCCAGTTTGTGGCCTTCACCAAGATCCTCCTGGACGTCCTCCCAATCTTCCAGAAACTCAGCCGCTTCTTCCAGATCGAGGACTTCGACCTCTCCATCCTGAAGCCCATCGTCTCCACCACGGCCACCACCCTGCAGGCCCAGAAGAGTGCCAGCGGCCAGAACCTCCAGGAGTTCCTCAACGAGATGAACGAGCACCCGCGGGACGACCGGGAGGGCGAGAGCCGCCTCTACTACAAGGGCGTTGAGCTGGCCAACTGCTCCAAGGTGCACCTGAAGCACTTCGAGCGCCTGAAGGAGAGTTACCTGGAGAGCGTGCGGGGCAACCTGCTGGACAGGTTCCCCAGCAGCGTCCTGGAGGCCATCAGCTCCTTCTCGGCCATTTTCAACCCCAAGTGCTACCCTCAATCTTTGGAGGACATCGGCAGCTACGGGGTGAGTGAGCTGAATTTCCTCCTGCAGGCTTACTCCCGGGTGGTGGTGAGCGAGAGGGCCCTGAGCGATTTCCCCCTCTTCAAGCGGATCGTCTTCAGCCTCAGCCAGCTCTCCTTCAAGGACCTCTGCGTCAAGCTGGTCTACAGCAACTCCGAGATGCACGAGCTCTTCCCGGACTTCGCCGTCCTCGCGGCCATCGCCCTGGCCTTGCCACTGGGCTCGGTCCTTGCCGAGAAGATCAGCCGGGGCCGGGAGCTGCTGAAGCGCGGCCGGTCGCACCGCGCGAAGGACGAGGGGCTCTCCGACCTCATGAAGATCGCCATCGATGGGCCGGCCATCAACGAGTTTGACTTTGCGTTGGCCATTGAGTACTACGAGAGCATGAAGGAGTCCGGCTTCATCGTGGCGCAGGTGAAGTGAGCGGCAGCGGCGCAGGCAGAGCCCTGCGGGCAGGGACGCGGGTCCTGCGGGCAGCCCCGACCTTTCCCCATCACCGGTCACTGCCGGGGCCACGTGGCCACCGGTGGCTGGTGACCTGCTCCGTGCTGGGACGAGGAAACAGGATCCTTCACAAAGCCACTCCGGTCCCACGACCACCCCTCCCTCATCCCCCCAACATCCGCCTGAACTGGCCAGAATTTGAAATCTCGGGGCCACCTGAAATCCCAGATTGGGTGAGGGTTTTTTGCAAGGGTTTGTTATTTGGTTTCTGGGAGATGAAGGCAAGTCTTCTCTTGAGCTCAAATGTCACATTGCCTTTGCACAGTGATACCCAGCAGCTTTTACTTAATACTCCGCAAAAAATATCTGATTTGTTGTTGTTCTGGAGCCTTGAGAACGAATGCAGAAGCGGCAGCGCATCTTTCTAGCTCTGTGGCAAACCCCGAAATGCCTGGCGGTGTCTTGTTGGTATTTCTTGCGCACAGCACAAAATATTTTTAGCAGTGGCATCGAGTCATGATCATTTCAAGAGCAAGAGATTCTGAGAATGGCATTGTAATCACCAAGGAAATAGGAAAATTTAAATGTATCATTGTGTATATATGTGTATGTGTATATAAAAAGAAGTATATATATAAATATATATATTAAAAAGGTCTATCTTAATTTTCCTAGTGTTTAAAGTACAAAGATATCTAAAAGGACTTTTTTTTTTGCAATGACAGAATAAATTATAATCAGGGGTCCAAAAATAATAAATAGCAAATTCCTGGTCTTTTCAAAATGGCATCACGTCCCTACGTTCCCTCAGCTCTCGGTACCTTGCAGCCAAAGAGTCTTCTAACACCTACTTCTGGGCCAAACCTGAGTTCTTCAGCTTGGGCTTGTCCTTGTGACGTCCCCGTTACCGAGAGGCGGGCGAAGCCGT